ATGGAGCAATCAAGCACGTTTGAATGCAATTAATCAAATGTAAACAACAATCATGGACTGACATCATACCACAATGGACATGCTTCAACAATCAAACACAATCGATCAACAACAATGCAACAACAAGAATCATTCATCAAGAAAACAACATTAACATGTTAAGCGCTCAAAACGGAAACCAAAAGTTGCGCGTCGAAGAATCGAGATCGAACATTCAAGAATGATGAAATATGTTAAAAACAATCCACATAAATGCATCATATCAATTCATGAAGTTTACATGCGGAAAGGATATCAAACAAGCAAGAAAATGCAAGAAAATCACATTCTGGCTCAGTGGTAACCGGTTACTCAAAATAGGGTAACCGATTACTCTATTGAAAAATAACCTGAAAACGTAAAATTTGCACTAAGTAACGGTTACCACTACACCAGAAGTAGAAAAACAACTTTTAAAATTAGTTTTCAGCATCAAACAACTTCTCCAATCATCCATATGAACATGATATCAACCAAGCACGAAATTATCATCAAGAAACAGTGATCAAACATCATGTAAACACAATCAAACATTGAAAACATAAATCACCAAGATTCGAATCATCAAGATGGATCAAAAAGCAGCAAAAACCATGGATCTACATTATGATTATCCAAATAAGTTCAAAACTGAAATAAATCTAGAATTACCAACCTTCAAGGCTGAGATTGGCCTTGGTTATTGTTGATTTACTCAAAACTAACAGATCCAAGCAAGAAACCCAGAGATTCTTCAAGATCCTAGAGCTTACTCATGGTAGAAATGAAGATCAAGCAAAAATGATCCAAAAAGCACTTCCAATCTAGCTTCCAAATTCAGATCCAAAACCAAACGAAAAATTGAATGGTGAATTGAAGATAATGGAGATGAGTGATGGCGGTTTAGCTCGAGAATTCAAGGATTCCAATGAAGAATCAATGAATTCAAGTGAAAGAGCTTCAATGGAGGTTTTGGGAGTGAAAAAGTTGAGAGAAAGATGAGAGCAAATTCTCAAGAGTGAGAGTGAAATCTGAAAATGAAGGTTAATTGTGTGAGGTTTGGTGCAAATTCACTTAAGTAAGCTCTAGGTTTGGAATCAAAATATGGTTTAGAATGAAGATTAGCATTTATAATGGAAATTAGGAGTAAAATTAGGAATGGAGTATTTGAAATTTGGAGGGAAATGGTGAAAATTGAAACAATTCTAGATCCTCCCAAATATGATCAAGTGAAATCAATGGTTGAGAATGATTGGAAATTGCACATGCTGAAAATTCAAATTCTTTGGCCAATTTCGTTTGAAGTAACCGGTTACTCTATATCAGGTAACCAGTTACCCTGTCCAAAAAGTGCCATATTTGGCGCCAAATGGAGGGAATGTTGTACAATTTCCTGTTGCCACTTGTTTTGAGCTCTACTAAGCCTCTGAAACTTGCCCTTGAATATGGTAACTATGAGAACGCTTGAGATAGCCTGTGTATTGCTCCTGAGCTAAAAATTAACCTGTTGAATAAAATAAAATCGACCGCTCAATCGATGGGAAAAATAAATGCCGGAGCCTCTGATGCTTATTGTTTAACCTCTTGCACTAAAAGGGAACCCTGAGCCACATAAACACCTTGATCTCATGCCTCAAGGACAAATGCTATGATATGCAGAAATGCAAAATGAAAAGAAACATAAGCCAATAAAGGTTAAAGCGAAAGAGAAAATTTTGGGGTGCTACAGTATCCGTCGACGTAGCTCTAGTTATTAGGTGCTATGGCAGCTTAAGCCTCCTCTGGTAGCAGATGTCTCTGTTAATCATCAAATATCTCCTCTATTTGTATAAGAGTCAAGGTAGGAGGAGCATAGACAATCAGGTGTCTAAAGGTGGTATGGGTGTACCCGAACTACTGCATGATGCACTCGAGCAGATGAGGAGCAATGATACTCGATGCGTAGGCTAGCCATTCAGAGTATAGCGATATGTCATCAAATGACCATGTCAGTCGATGATCCACGTAGCAGTTAAAGTAGATATCCTCAACAACCAAGCGGTCAAGATAGACTCTGAAAGGCTCGGCCGCCTGGTTCCCTCTCAGTGGGATAAAATCACAGGCACGAGGCATCTCCTCAGTGAACTCATCCCAACATGACCAGCCAACAATGCGAGGGAAGTGCTGGAGGATCCAAGCCTGAAATGAAAATAAAAAGCATTCAGAGATCAAGAATCATCGCAAATATGAAATGATAAAGATGAAAAAAACATTCAAGGATAAAAAATTACTACCACCAGTAGTGTCGTGCTGCCTGTGACCTGTTTCGCCCTCCACTGATATCCATCTCTCAGCCTCAAATACAGATATGCAAGGCAAGCCACCCCCTATTGCACTCATGGATCCGTGTGATATCCAAGAAGTACTGGATGTATGCAACGTCAGTGTAGGTGGCACTCGTGTCCATAAAAATCACAGTGCCAACTAAAAATAAAAAATAACACCTCAAAGCATGAGCCCTGTGCATGGCCACCTCCTGGGCATTACCATCAACCTGCTTTATAGCAACGAGCGACTCATCAAATCTCTCCTTCAAGAACGAAAACCTAACATGAACACCCCTAGTCCTACCTACCTTCTTGAGCGCCTTCCCCGGATCAGCCCCCAAATGCTCCACCATCATATCGACAATCTCGTTTTTGGTCATTCTACCATGATGGAGGAATCTCCCCCGGATCGGTAGATGCAACAAAGATGAGACATCACCCAGTGTAATCGATATCTCACCATGCGGGAGATAAAAGAAAGAGGTCTCAAAGTTCCATCGCTCCACAAATGCATTAAACATCACATGGTTGACCAGAGTGTAACTGGTTAAGCATAGGTCACTCAACCTAAAAGCGGTCAGAACCGACTGAAACCATTCCTCATTAGGCTCATGCAATGCTAAAATCTTTCGCCCATGGTTCAGAAACTTCTGGGGATCACGCACCTACGAATTTCCAAAAATAATCAATGTCTATAAGAATCAATGTTAGAAATAATCGATGTCAGCAATTTAAATTAATGTAAAAAAATATAGTAACAATGTGACATAATGTTACCTCTCTGTCCCAGATATGTCTGGCAGTGTGGTCTGAGTACAGAGGAAGTAGGGGCACATAAGTGAAGTGAAGGTTGAATCCTAGGAGTGAACTGAGCCTTAGGAGTAGACTGTACACCAGTAGTAGACGTCTCTCCCTGACCAGAGGTACTTGCTGCATCCACTCTCGTCTAACGGATGCGTGTTGGAAAACCCGTCAATGTCACAATCGGTCTGCTTTGTCAGCCATTATGCCTGCAAGGTCAAATTACCCGTGGAGTCAGCACAACAAGAAAATTATAAAACAAAAAGAAAAAAAATAGACTGAGATGATTCCGGAGATACATCTACAGAAACATTTCGCAGATATATCTCCGAAATCACCAGAGCGCATAAAAGGTTGAATTAGTCCGAAGATGTATCTCTAGAATTTTCTACAACTCAGAGGTCGCGACAATGGCGTCCTCTGCCCCCTCATAATGAGAAATTTGAAGCCCTTATAAACATTTCTACACCTAACAATACATTCTAACTCGTTTACAAGAATACTCGAATATTTATCGGAAACTCAAAAAATTTACCCGGATTATATGATTCGGAAGATGTTAAATGATGCACTGAATGCTGCTTGATAATTACTTGAGCCTCGGACGGAAGAAATCAAATTTGATGAAGTTTGAGAAATTTGGGAATGAGAGAGATGGAGAGGTTTGTGAATGGAAATGAAAAAGTGTGGAAAGAGAAGAGTCTGGCGTGATAATATGCTCCAAATTTTTTTTTACAAACAACAATTCATTAAAGGCATACTAGGAGTACACCGAACCTAAAACAATTTACATCAATAGTCCAACAAGATGCAAATATTTACACACCTGATAAAAATATCCCCCTCAAAAAATCGATAGGTGATTTACACCAATTATAAAAGGTACATCTAGGTCTATCTCCGAAATATTTCAATTTTCAATTGAGTTTTGGTGCGTCCGGAGATATATCTCTGAAATATTTCAATTTTCAATTGAGTTTTGGTGCGTCCGGAGATATATCTCCGAAATATCTTAATGTTTAGTTAAATTATAGTTTGTCCGAAGATATATCTTCGAAATCAATAAACATATATAAAATGTCATATGGTGTATAAGAAATTCATAAGATGCTTTAAGAAACTCTCTTTGATTAGACCTTACCGATAATCTTTGGTTAGACCTTACCGATAATCTGATTGGGCTCACACCCAGTCCAAACTAGTTACCCATCAAGTTTGATTCTTAGTATGAGTCGAGGATTTGTACAAAAGAAGAAAAAAAATTTTGTTAACATGAAACATTGTGAATAGTTGTCTAGACTGGTAGGTCTATTTTAGTGAAGAGTATCATATATCAGGGATTTGACTAAAATCAAGGATGTGGGGGTGTTTGTTGAGAGCCAAATGTTTGTTGGATATGATATGAAATTTTATTTAAGAGAGAAATGGTGTTCGAGTGACTAATTCACATCGTTTGCGGAGACCATTGTTAAATAAAATTAATATTTAGAATTTTTCATTTAAAAAATAGAGAGCATTTAAAGGCACTCTTTTTTTAGTTTCAAACCTTCTCTATAACTGAGATAAACAATAATTCATGTGGATCCTCCTATCTAAAAATACATAATTTCCTGTTGAGATCATAAACAACATATAATTCCATGATTTTATTAGTCTAGGGTTTCCAATCTGCAAAAACTTACACAACAACCCAAAATACAAATAGCATACAGAAACTAAGAAATTAATTAAAGGATTCAAAAAGTGAACAATGAGAAAAGTGATTAAATTAAATACTTGAAAAAGAAAGCAAGCCTGCTGAATCTGTCCAAAAATCAACATTCATCTGTTGAATACCAAAAGAAAAAATAGATATTATTCATCTTAACGACTTTCTTATTCCTCCTCCATAACATAAGGCTCATTCAAATCAAAATCCAATATATGTTGTTCTTCATGAGGGTTAATTTCTTTCTCTTCAACATTAGATTGAGATAAACTTTTACCTTTCTTTAACTTCAGATCGCCGGCTTCATCAATCTCATTATCATTCTCAATACTTTTGTTTCCAATCATCGATGAAGATCCTATAAAGATTTTAATCTTTTTCATCTTCATCCCATGCTGATCAACGGAGAATTTAGGAGTTTTTAACTCATCACTAGACATATGAAAATCTTCTTTACGACGAGAAATAAAAAATTCAGGAGTTTTTAACTCATCACTAGATAAAATAGAATAGCACTTATCAGATCGAAGAAGCAGAAGATTGGCAGCCGCCTCGGCACTGCCAATACATTTTCTACCTCTTTTATCTCTCTTTTGCCATCTCGGCAAAGAACAATCATCATCACCTTCATCATCCTCATCTTCTTTGTTTTGTCGAGTCGACGAATTAGAATTATTCGAAGAAGGAGGACTAACTCCTTTAAAAACCCTATCGGGATGAGATCTCATATGACCATACAAAGCATTGTTTGTCCAAAACTTCCTATCGCAAATATAACAACTAAATTTCTTTTTCTCGTCACAGAAATTATTACTAACTTGAATTGAGAGAGGAGTTTTCACCTTTTGAGAATGATGATTAGTTTTCTTCTTAATAAAATGAGATCTTCGGTGACCACCCAATGCTTTTCCGTTGCTATATGCTTTGCCACAAATGTTGCACTTGTGCTTTAATTCTTCAACAGAAATTTTATTCATCTTCGTCTCATAGTTATCTTCATCACTAGACACTGAACTTGATCTTTTCATCTTCATCTGAAAATTAAGTGATAGTAAAATTTGAAATTAAACAGAACATCTAAAGAAAGACCTAATCAATTGAAGAAGATGAAAAAAATGTTATATAACGAAAACATTTACCTAATGTTGAGAAACAAATATACAAGCTAAAAGGGTTATAAACTTTGAAACGTTTATATAAAAAAAACCTTGAAATATGGAAGAGGAAAAGTTATGATTTTATGAAGAATTAAATGAGGAAGAAGTATTTTCTCCCAAAAAGATTTTCCATTGAATCAGATTTTAATATTACAGATTTTAATACCTAATCAATTCATTATTGTTTTATATAAAAAAAAAATTATAAATAAAAATAATTAATAATTACATATAATACAACTTTTTTTTAAGTTTGCGTTCAGGGGCAACAACGATGTGTCAACTATGAAAAATTACTCCAACAATGTTATATCATAGAGCATAGCCTAAGGAAGATCCAGAATGATAAGAACTAAATGTGGCAGTAGAGAAGAGGGAAGTATATAACAAACAGGTGAAGGCCATGAGCTTTTCAAACAAAGGAAAAAATGTGTATAACTCTGAAGATTTTCCAGACTCGGAGTTGCAGCAAGTGAGAAAAGATGAATTATAGTATCTATGAAAGCAAACATGAGATAGTATATCACAATTATGAATCACACTTTTATAGTGGATCTTATATGTTTACCCTTAAAGAAATTGGATTTTGGGTTCGGGGTGGATTAATCATACACTAACTAAATATGCATAAAGGGTAAGAAGAAGGTTAGGGTGTGCAAAATATTCGGTTTTGAGATCTAAATCTATAATCAAATTTAAATGTATTTAAAATATTTAGATATTATTAAATGATTATTAATCAGTTTAATTATTAATGATTGATTGTTTAACCATATTAAATTTTTGAATCCGGTTATAATCGAGTTATTATTCAAAATCCAAATGTTTCAATTTAATAAATTTTTTTTTTTAATTTTCGAATAAAATTTTAAATTTTTTAGAAAATAAAATAATTTTTAAAAAATTAAGTTTTTCGAAAAAAATATTAAATTTTTTGAAAAAAAAATAATTTTTTTGAATAAAAAACACCCTTAAAAAAGTCGTTTTCATACCCAGATACTATGACTGAATGTTACAGAATTTTGACTGAATGTTATTACTTCCTAAGAATCATTCTAAAGTTCTTGCTTCTGGTGTTGTTCCTGCTATTGTTAGTGTTCTGGATTCTTGGGAGAAATCTTATGTTGTTAGTGATTGTTTAGCGGTTTTGGTAGCTTTGGCAGAGAATGTGGACGGTTCTCGTGCTGTATTAGAAGCTTTGAGTTTGTCTTTGGTGGTTGGGATTTTGCAATCTCCAACTTCACGTGCTGAGAAGGAGTACTGTATTTCCATTTTGGTTTCACTGTGTGCTAAGTATAGAATCATACATCTGGTATATTAGTTCTTATTTAGTGTAAAAATTATAGTTGGATTAGCTTCAGCTTTTCCTACACTTAAATTTTGGAAAAAATCTAAAACTAGTTGAAGAGGATGCAAAAATTATCACCTGAGGTTCCGTTTATTTGGCTTTGATACTACACATTTTCAAAAGAACTTACTACATTGGTGAATTAAAATCAATCTTTTTAAATTTCAAGCGAAAGAGTTTCGCCTTTGAACTTTGTGCATCATGAACTTTGTACTATAGAAATCATATGGTGCAGTAGTTTATGATTATAAGAATGATCTATAAAGGTTGCATGAAGGTTCTACCAATTGTCTCTCATTGATTGAAGAAATATTTGTACTTGGAGTGCTAACCAGGGCAAGCTCCCACAAGGGAACCGGTGTTAATAATGGTCATTACATTGCTCACATCAAGGATGAAAATACTGGGCAACAGTGGGAATTTGATGACGAGCTTGTCACTAGCTTGGGTAGTTGTCCATTTGCTGAAGAGGCAGCCTCTAAATTTGTTGAGGATGATGTAGGACTTTCCAATTTCTCGAAGGCAATGTTATTGGAGCTTTAGCACAAGGAACTAGTTATGGTGCATAAAACTGGACATAACCTTCATTAGAAATGGTCGAAGTTTGTCGGCCTTGCGTTAAATGGAATTATGATGGACACACATATGCAATTGACTGCTACTTTAAGTTGCTTGTTCGACTATGTTGCATTTACGGTACTAGCGATGACGGCTAAATCGATTAGGGAAGTTGCTGCTAAATAATTGGTGATGGAACTAAAGGAAATTCATAATGCTTATATTGGAGTAGAACGATTGATTGGAAGAATGTACACCTTCTGTTATATATGTTGTCTGTGTGGTTTCAAGATACTTAAAGGGCCCTGAAATTCCAGTTGATTTGCAAGACTATGATTACTCTTGTGGAACTTTGGTTGAAACTTTGTCTGTGTGGTTTCAGCAGATCTAGTTCATTTTTTCACTTCTTTTTTCTTCTATTGCAACAAATAAACAGTCCAAAGTTGTCCTTAATTTATCAATATTTTGGGCTTTTCACAGTTTCTGCGGAGAATTAATAGCTACTGTTTTTCTTATTTATAGAAACAAAGTACCAGTGGAAGGACAAAAGTTCTTTTGGAGACTGTTCCTGTTCACAAGTTGGATTCTGTTGATGCTAAAGAGAGGCTTTCTAAAGCAACTGAATTGGTTGATAGACACTTACAGGTAAGTAATATAGCGAATGATGCTTCCTGGGAGGTTTGCTTCCTACTACTTGTCTTTTGATCCCACTTTTCTGTACTGCCAACAGTCAATACGCGTAGCTGAGAAGATTACACAAAAAGTTGAAGGACAACTATCAAAATCTCAAAAAGAATTTCTTCTGCGCCAGCAGGTTGGCTTTCTCAACATCCTGTGCTATATACTTCCAAATATAGGGTAAACATTAATGAAAATTTATGTTGTACTGAACTACATGTTCCATAAAATAAATCAGTGACAACGATTTCAGATGGAAAATCCCTCTAAACAATTCCCTTAGCCTAGCTCAAGCACCAATTTATCGAATATTTGGGACTATCTTTGTATATTTAAGGTTTTACGTCTGTATTTAGGCAGTATGGGTTGATCATCTAGCTATGAAAAACAATGTCTTGTGCAAAATACATGGATTTTGCTTTTGGCAGTTCATTGTTTATATTTGTTAGGGTTGTTCTAGTCGCTACGTTTGGTCTCGGAGCTGCACAGAAGCTATATTTGAAGATGTTTAGATGTGTTTTCCATGCACCGATGTATTTCTTTGATTCTACACCCGCTGGAAGGATCTTGAACCGGATTTCTGTTGATCAGAGTGTTGTGGATTTCTGTTGCTATTGTATTGTTAGACACATACCAAATACGATAGTGACACATTGACACGTCGACACTAGTAATAGTTTAAGAAAATTGAAGTAATTGAATGTAACTAGAAGGGTTTGTATTTTGTGGGTGTGGCGAGCCACCTTACACGCATTCAATGTGAAGTGTATGTGCTAGATATGTCTTGTTGAATTCTTAATATTAGTTTCTATTCTAGTCACTAAGTTTAGATAATTGAGAATAATTATGCTTTTTGAGCTAGAATGATTTTGTTTATGTATTGTTAGGGGAGGTGATTGAATATGATAGGATGTGGAATTATGGATACTAAGGATTGAACATGATCAACATATTAATTTTGATATGCAAGATGAGATTTTTGCAGTTGAAAGTTCGCTAGTTTGTTACTTTGGTTATTGACTTCGTTTATTTTAAGTAGTAATGCAGGGTCTATTTGATTTTTGTTTTAACTTTCTGATTTTATTTTCTGTTTCAATACTATTTGCAAAAATGGCAATTGTTTTTCACTTTGTTTCATGTTTTCAATTGTTTTTTGTGGAGAACTCCACAAAGCTTTACAAAACTTGAAAAATATGAAATGAAATGAGTGTTTCCTAGACAAAACAACATTGAATACATGAAATAAGGTGAAAACAAGATTTATATTGGGAGCTGAAAGCTTTAATGATATATTAACAGGATAAGATGCATAGAATTATTGAATATGTTTTTCCTATGGTCTCTTTCAGGTAAAAGACGACCATGGAGAGCATTTTTTTTGTACGGCCCTACTGGAACTGGTAAATCATATTTAGCCAAGGCAGTTGCAACTGAGGCTGATTCAACTTTTTTCAGGTAAAATAAGTGACTAGGTACTTTATGTGTTATACAAGTAATGAGTTAGTTATGTTACTTGTTGAGCCTGATGTCTTATTTGTTATACAAGTAACAAGTTAGTTGTGTTCAAATGTATAATTAAAATAAGTGAGTTAGATGTTGAACCTACTAGACATTTGAGGGGGTTCTCGTGTAAGGAGAATTTGATTGGGTGTATGATTCATAGGTAGAACCTAATTTGGTTGTTAGAAGCAGTTGTTAACTAGTTATATATATTACGTGTTAGGAAATATGGATCGGAAATGGATGTTTGCTAGTCGAGCGTCAAAAGAATACGAAGATGGGGTTTAAGAGTTTGTTAGGTTTGCTATTGCTCATGTCAAAGACACTAGTAAAATCATATGCCCTTGCTTAAAATGTTGTTATAGGATGTTAATGCAAATGTTTTGGAAGATCACTTAATATGTAATGGAATTGATAAAAGTTATACATGTTGGATAATGCACGGAGAAAAAAAAACCAAGTCAACAAAGAGGAGCAATGGGAGAGATAAATCAAATGATTTTGAAAAAGATACAAATTATAAGTTTGATCGAGTTGAAGAATTTGTGAATGTAATTGAAGAAGATCTTCGCGATTGTCCTCAAATGTTTGAGAGGCTAGTAAGTGATGCAGAGACTCCAGTGTACGAAGGATGTACTAAATTTACAAGATTGTTTGTGGTCTTAAAATTGTATAACTTAAAAGCACGCCATGGATGGTCTGATAGGAGTTTCACAGACTTGTTGACTCTGTTAAATGAGATTTTGCCTAAGAATAATGTGCTCCCTAGTCGAACCTATGAGGCTAAACGATT